ACCACAACAGGCCGCGAAATCCGATGAATCCGTTTTATCCACGAACAGTCATTTTGATTGTACGAGTGTACTCTTGAGGTTTGTAGTGTTGCAGTGTATTGTAGTCTTTCTTTTACAAAAAATACATCTGAATTTATTCGTTTTGTCACTGATTCTCAGATACGATTCTCGATCAACTCCGATGAAATCGCGTCAGTAATCGATTAACGATTACAGTCAGTCGATTGTACCAGGGTGATTTTGCAAAAAAATTTACTGGAAGGTTACAAAATTTTTTTCTGTAACTGTGGTCCAGTGTTTTTGTAAAACATCGTAAATTCGGAATATTCTTTATTCTTTATCAGATTGCCGTTCGCCGATCATATCCGATGAAACCGTTTCACCACCGCAAAGCGCTTACGATTTACATTTATTCGATTGTTAATAATTTAAGACGAAATTTTATTTTGAGGACTATACACCGTATTGACATACATATTTGTTGGGTAGTTAACGTAGTTCTTTTTGTAAAAAAACGTTGTAACTTATACTGATTTTATACATCTCATCTGTGAAGTCGTACGTCGAGAACTCCGATAATTCCGATTCGATAATCCATTTACGATTTAGTCATCGATTGTAGTAGTAGTATTTTGTTTAGTTTCAATAAAGTTTATTTCGGGACTCCCTTTGAAAGAACTGACATACGGACCCCCCGACTGTTGTGTCGCCTCGCGTCTCTGTGTCTTGGCCATGTGTCGCACTGGAACACACCGCAAAGACTTCAGCCGACGGCCAAGAAGCACGTACGAACTGCGCATGCGTGAGTGGCAATAATTCTCCTTACCAGCAGACGGCGGTACTGTGTATTCGTCATTCAAAAGAGGCAACAACCGGAAGACAGGCCGTTTCTCAATCGCGAGGATACTGGCTTGGTAGTCGCATACTTCCAAGTCACTTCCTTCAGAAACGAAGCAAGTATACTTCCAAGCCACGGCTTCGGAAAACAAAGAAGAATGGAACAGGCCAACAAGTGTGCCACTCTCTCTAACGGTTTCAACATAGTCCCGAAAATAAATACCTCACGATGTCTCTCTAATTATGAACTTGCTTTACTTTCACGGAACACATTTTTGGTGATAACAAATGCAACAAAGTAACATTTTTACCAACACATATTCTACGCCACTACATACTTACATTTAAATGTGTGCTGCGCTGCGTTGGTTCAGCCATTCTCCGCAAGGGTTTTTGAAATTGGTCCGTGCACAAAGCATTGTGGGGATTTGAAGGACGCGAAGTCTACCCATGTGCAGCCTCGAAATTATCCCCAAACCAAGGACGCGGCCTCGGTGGAATTCCAAGTATGCTGGAGATTGGAACAGTCCTTCAGCGGCACTCGATGACGTAGTATCCTTGAAATATTGGCTCGGAAGCCAGTTTCCTCGCGATTGAGAAACGGCCTCTGTCTCTCTCTCTCTCTCTGTCTCTCTCTCTCTCACACAAAATGCACTCGTGCTACACACACACACAGACGCTCCTCCGTGACGATGACCGCTTGCGTAAAAATTTATAATAAACACATTTGAAAAGTGGGGGGGACACAAACGGGATTTTGAAAAGTGGGGGCGACATGTCCCCCCTGTCCCCAGTGGAAATGACGCCCATGCGCAGATCTAAGATCCAGTAGAAATTATAAAAAGTAAAAGTCTGCTGCTTATTGTTCTACTAGGCCAAAATAGAGTATCAGAGTGAGAGTGTGTTAATTAATACATTTGGCAGTTTGGAGTAAGTCAGTAGATTTGTTTGTGTGTGTTTCATGTATAGGCCTCTCACGATAATTAATTGTGTTGGATACATTTTCGGGGGGAAAAAGCCCCTTAACAGGTTAAATGGGAATTAAATCATTTTAAGTCATTTTGAGTGTTCCCAAAGCCCTGGTGTTCTGCAGTGTGTGTGGGCCTACTGTACTGTTGCACAGTTTATACTTTAGAAATTGACCATCAACAAATATGTTAGAAAGTTTGATGTGGTTATGAATGTTTATCAAAGTTTTTATAATTCATCCTGAGGGGAACATTATTGATTGTACCCACATTTCATGCCAAGACATGAAATGTTTTTTTGAGATATTTCGGTCAGAACCAGAGTGTTGGAACGATAAACCATCATGATTCAACCATCACTAGAGCCATGCTGGAAGCAAATCAAACATAATTTAGCTATAATCCAGAATCTTCACAGCTATTTGTCCTCCACTAGGAGTCTCTATTTATCCGGTAATAAATTCATATTTAAACCCAATATCTTCAGACTGTTCCAGGCTCTTCCACTTACATAATGTGTGTCCAGCAAAGAGCAGCAGAGTGATCAGTCTGTAACATGTTGGACTGAATCTGTGGTTTTGCCCTGAGCAAACATTTAATAACTTCAAGGAGACAGCAAACATCTTCATCTCAAATGATGCCTGTGAAGATGAAACCTCCCTATGGGTAAAAGCAGGTTTTTACCAAAGCTTGTGACCAAAGCTAATAAGGTTGTCTGAGGGTGTCTGAGGGTGCCCTTGAGCAAGGCATCAAACCAACACCCTGTAGATACTGCCCACTGCTCCAAATATGAGGATGGATTAAATGCAGGGACTACATTTCACTGTGTGTGGTGCTGTGAACATGTATCCAACCAATAGAAAAGGATTTCATTAGAATAAATAGTTTTTGAAAATGGCACTGTTTTGGGATATTGCAGAGAATTCTTACATTTGCAGAAATGATTGCAAACTAATGTTTATGTCAGAAGTAAAAAGCTAAGGTTAGGCTATAATAAAAAATGTTTACAAGACACTTTATATTTACAGGTTAAAATATTCTGTCATGGAATCGCCTATTTTAAGAGGTTGTGATAATGAAATAAACCTGTGTTGGATATTTATTGAAGTATTTTATATTTTTTAACACAACATTCAAATCCCTTAACTTGTGGTAACCATGGACGATGGAATCGGAAGAGCAACATTTGTGACTTTTATCAGGGTTTCAGGACTTTTAAACACTCATATATGTGAAGTGAACAGCCTATTTTGATTCGGTGCTGAATAGAAGATCATTTCTACTAACCAATCAGAGCATCCAGATCTGGAGTTGTGTGGTTGGCATCCAACACATGGAGGCCTTGATCATCTGTTCCTCCTCCCCTCTCCTCTTCCTCTTCTCTGGCTCCTCCCCCTCCTCTCTCTATGTCCTCTCCCTTGTATCTCTCCCACTCCTCCTCTCCCCCTCTCCTCTCTCGGTCCTCTCCTCCTTCCTCTCCTCTGTCTCTGTCCTCCATGTCTGTCCCGAAGAAGCCGGACGCCTCCAGGGAGGCATCAGCAGCTCCTGGCCCCTCAATGAGCTCCTTGTCTGGGTCGCTGGAGTCTGGACTCCTCCTGTAGCCTTCTGCATCCTGAGGAACCACCAGATGGACCATACGCTGGAAATGGAACAATATTTGTTGGGCATATAATCTACAGTATAATTCGTTGTAATATTCTTGTTGTTTTAAACATTTTTTATCATTTTCGAAATATGTGCTCCATTTTCACAACCTAATTCTTCCTGCTGTGATTATGTTTGCACCACGCAAATTCCTTGTATATGTACATTAACCTGGGAATAAACCCGATTATAATATAGATTCTGATATTTGATACAAAATAACTATTCTCAGAGATCATAGCAAAACTTATTCAGAACTAAAAAAGGTTTTAATTAATTAAATTGTTTTTACCTTCGATAATAAATGACTAGATTTGTTCTGAAGCTAAACAAAACATTGACACAAAATGATTTAATGTTATATGTTTTTACATGATATCTGCTCCCTTCATAAATGCATTTATTCCTGTTTTTGTATGTTTTTCTGTATGTTGCTTCCATCATTATGTCATTTGCACTAAATTATTGCACAATTTAACGTATTATTTTCTTTAATCAGAATCAGAATACCTTTGTTAGTCCCACAGAGGGAAAATTTGCATCGTTAAAGCAGGAAAGAGCCACAGACAGCTTAATGTTACATATGTTAAAAAAAAAGTACTAAGTTAAAATCTTAAGTATAATGTATTTTGTATTGTTTGAGGAGCCTGGCGCTTAAGATTTTCTTTTGAAACAACTAAGCTGTAATGGTTGTGCATATAACAATAAAGCCTTTGAATGTTGAATTTTAATAAAGCATGGAGGTTTGCATGTATGTACTGTATGTTACCCCAGTATGTTTTAGGTGTGCCTTTTGCAGTTTATTACACATCCTCATGAACTTATGCTCACCTCCATGTCATCTACTACACCAACATTTTCCTCCAAAGCAGGGCGGGTCCTGACTGCTTCCTGACCTGCGGGGGGTGGAGGGTTTATCTGAGAGGAGTTATCAGACTCCATCTTGTCCTTGGAACGGGATGTTTCGTGGATCTCTGGCCGGCCCATGTCGTGAACCAAATGAGGCTGGACCCGCACTAACTCTGGCACTGAGTGGCGCTTGGTTCTGACTAATTCCTGGATGAAGTGTGCCTGGGCTGGGCCTTCATCCTGGAACACCCGAGCCCCGGGGGCGCTGAGGGGGATGACCCTCTGAGACGAACCCACTCTGAAGGCATCACAGCAGGCCAGCAGTGCTATGGGGAAAAGAGACAAATACATTGAAGATGATGATGCAGTGAAGCATAATGTCTTATTACAATAAAACAGAGATGTACTTTTTGTTTCTTTGTATTTTATGAATCCCTCAGAGTAGATAACATTGTCAGCAGAAGTTTTACAGGGTAAAGAAAAGAAAAGAAACTTACAAAATCAGTTCTAAAACATACAATATATGATTGGAATTATAAAAAATATAAAGCAGAACTATCATATCAAAAATATATATTCATTTTAGCTGCAAACAGTTGGGTACACAGGAGAATAGGAAATATCGGAATTACTGAAAACTTTCAACCTTTTCAATCTTAATTTCTTGCTTAACATTAATGAATGGATACATAAAAAAGAGAAGGTACTGTAAAATTGAATACAAGCCAATATATTTGATTTCCTTTCAGTTGTTTGGTTAATAATGTTTATTAATCAAGCCATGTTAAGAAATCAATTACAGGGTCAAAACAAATCAAATTAATAGCAAAAAACAGTCAAGTTCAAATTGAGTGGATTGACAGATCTAATGAATGTCACTTGTTCCCTAAACATATTTAATGTGTTGTGTTTTTGTTACCCAGCAGAGAGAACAGCCATAACACTATGAGCACTCTGTTGTCTGCATTATACATTAAGTGCCTTTATTTCCCCTCCGAAAGAAACTACATTGAGTTTTAACAAGCCATTCATTCTCTCATTCTTCCTACACAGTGGTGCAGCGATGACACATGTTTTAAGAACAAGTTAGTATCACAAAGTCTCCCTTGACAAAATCCAATTGATTTTTCCATTGGATTTTTAAATATTACAGGAAATAATAAGCTCTGTGGCAAACATACATTTATGAAATGTACACGTTATGTTCAGCCGGATAGTCTCCACATATTAACACCACTTTATGATTTTTGAAGCATAAATGCAAATGATTTCATGTTTGCTGTGATGACGTTTAATTGTCTTATTTTGTGGTACAACGCTAAATAATTTCCGGGTTTTAGGACTTATTCTTGCACAACTCTATTTATTCCTACATTAATTTATAGTTGAAAGCTTCAAGTAATTATTTGCAGATTTGTTTAACCAAGGCCGAGAGATGCTGCAGTGTACATTATTCTTTGTTTGTTTGCTCATAAAAAAGAAAATAATTTTTAAGAGTCACACATATTTCCACGTATATTGTTCTATTCGTTTTTCCATTGATAACATATCACGGCTCCACATTCACCTATTCTCGTGTCCATCTTTCCATCACTTATTCCCAGGTTGCGTTCCGATAATCCAAAAATCAGCTCCTAAATTCTAACCCTATCTCCTATTCCTTGACCTCTGAGTGAAACGTCACGGGGTTAAGGGATAGTGGATAGGAGAATTCAAAAGGACTTAGGAGAAGAGACCGCGGTACTTTAGAGAATCCGAATGCACTTTCACTATCCGACGTGTTTATGATGCGCCAGCGGACGTCATTGTGTGCGTCTGCTGCTGTGGTGAAACTATGGAAACTACAGTGTTCTATACAACGGACTACAACATGGATGTTTAATAAGAACGAGGGATTACTGTAAACTCATCTAGAGACTCTGCACTGTGCTCTGATGCTGTTGTTTTATGCTTTATGAACGTCGACAACAGAGAAACATATTCTTCATGACCAAAGTTGTAATTGAAATAAAAAAGGAAAGTGAAATGTATGCTCGTCACCCTCTCCCTCCGGTCCACATTAATACAAATGATCCCAATACGTATGATTGTATGAACTATGAAAAGATCTTAAAATACAAATGTATTTATTATAAACGTTAGTCCTTAACATCTATCACTGTGTATATCACCACTCAAACATCTTTTAAAAGTTGAACAAACCCCACACAGCTCAGCAAACACTGTGAAATGTTGACTTTATTTGATAATTTCAGTAAATGTAAACGTATATTTCTCTTTTTGATTATGATACTGATGAACGCTCAAAACAAAGCACTTTGGCAACTTACCAATTACGTTTTAAAATGCTTAATAAGCACCGTAGCTTTCATGATATTATTTCTCGGTCATAATCGGTTATTTTCATGAACGGCCGAATGTTGTTTGACGGCAAATGGTGTGGCTGCAAGGCAATGTGGGACAGCATTTTCTCCTCTCCTTTCGGTGAGGGAGGTCCAGTGGTTCCTAAGCTAAAGGAGGTTATAAAGGAAGTTTGAAACCTCCTTTCCTTTCATTTAGAGAATTGGAATGGCACTTAACATGGCTGCCACTGACGTACTTCCGGGTCATTTCACTTGGTTAGGAAAGTTCCTAAGCTAAATGGACTATTGGAACGCAACCCCAGTCTCCCTCATGTTTCCCATGGTGCTCTCTGTCTGGGACCACAGATGGCTGTCTGACCTCAGGGTCTGACTGAGCAGATTATCATATCATCGCCAACATGTCTGCAACATGTCTGCAACACGCTAAGCTGTCACTACAAAGCCCCTCAGACATTACACTTCCTTCCTGCTGGCCAAAAGATCCCCCATCCCCCCTACCAAAAAGAAAAGGCTGACTGACCATAGCTGATAAGCGTGAAGATATTGTTCTGGGACAAGAGGTCATAGAAAGTCGGAGACAAGGACAATACAGATTGTTATGATTAGGACTTGTGGAGCCCCTGAAATGACTCATCATTAGATAAAGAAGCTGTGCAGGATGAATATGAGGAGATAAAGGGGGCTTCATTGTGGACACATCTCTGTGTCCTGGCTGTTAGTCATGGTCAATTCTCCTGAATTTTGCTTCAATTAAACCTTCAGTATTGGAATACATCAGCCTCCACTCTCCAGCATCCTCTTGTTTTCCACTTTATTGCTCCAAGAATTCACAGTAGCTGAACTGACTGCTGTTAAACTGTCTGATCTGTCTTCTGAATCAGAGCAGAAGATATTCCTCAACATCCTCTTCATCCCGTGTAATTTCAGCTGCTACCCGCCATTCGTTGATTTGGACTTACAAAGGCCAGTTTTAACAGGCCTTTCTCAGGCCACCGAATTATTAACTGCTCACAATACCCTACTGATGCTCAGTTCAAATGTAACTCCTGACGGCTAATGATGATGGTTTTAGGGATGGGAAACTCTACGTTTCCTGTCACCACGGCATATTTTCATAGTTCTTTGTTCTATACTAAAATAGTACGTTTATTTTTCTTACAGAAGACAAAGATAAGAGAGATAAGATGACTTAATAGTCTTAAGTCAACAAAAATCTTACATTAAAAAATATGAAGTTGTCTAAATATGATGAAAAGGACATTTGGCTCAGGGTTAAGTATACAAAAGATAAATTCACACTACAGTAAACAGAAATAATATAACTATAGGGTGGATTTTCATTAAAATTGGTCCAAATGTCCAGCTATTACAACATCAGTTCAATACAGGAAGATAACTTAATATCAGAAATAATTTGTAAGCATTAAGGAATATAAAAGTTGTCTCCACTTTTCATCCATTAATTTCCCTGTTTGGGAAACTTTCAGTCCCACAGGAACCAGTGGACAGGTAATAAACTTCTGTTCCTGTAATGACTTACCCGAGACACACAGTGGGAAGTCATTATCACCAACTGGAACTTTTCTTGAACTGAATTACAGAGGTGATAGGAGAGCATGTTTTAATCAAGGCATCTTGATTACTTCAGGTACGAGAGGACTCAAGAGAAATATGAAGTCACAGCTCTTGTGGCCCTGTATCATCGAGGTGCAGATCTATTTTAAGGGAAGCCTCTGCTAGGTTAGACCTGGAGTCCAGTCAACACTGAAATATCTCAACATTTATTTGGTGGATTTCTACAAAATGTTGTCCAGACATTCATGGTCCCCAGAGGATCAATCCTACAGGCTTTTGTGATCCTCTGACTATTCCTATAGTGCCACAATCAGAGCAAAATGTGTCCGATACTGTGACTTGTGACTAAATTCCCAGCGAAGTAACGACTCTCATCGACCTCAATGAATGGTTAACAATATACCTGCTAATTATTAACATAGTAGAATTTTAATTGAATAGATGTCAGCACGCTAACATAGCCTCACAGAGCATTTCAAATTCAAAGTAATCTCAAAGATCAACTAAAACCGAAAACTAAAACAGATATAGGTTGTATTTTTTATTATCTGTTGCATATTATTTATTTATTTGATTTCAATATATTTTCTAAATGCTTATGTCTTGCCTCAGTTCTCCCCTTCCTTCTTCGAAATGTAACTAGATGTTAGCTAAAACCCTTAACTAACATTGAGAAAATGTTCCTGCATTTCACATCATTTATTACCTCTGTAAACATTTTCTTAGTTTTGATATCCCTATTCTTTGAAGATCACCTATGCTATATTTGAAATATATATTTTAGGGCCATATCTATACAAAACATGTCTTTGAAGTGTTTTGCTCCAAAAATACCAAACAGATCACCCAGCCATGCCTCATACCCCTCTATTTCAGCCCTGTTACTGAAGTGCTGATTCTGGGTCCATAGCTTTAAATGTTACAGAGCTGCTGCTGGCCACGCCCCTTTGGCGCTGCTGCTGGTCAAGCCCCTTTGGAGCGCCATACAAGCAGTGAGCTCTGTGAAGAGAGAAGTTTCTACTCTGCAGATACTCAGCTAAACGCTGCCGTGATTAAACGCCATATTATGTACCAAACCACATCAAGGATTATTTCTGAAACAGTATGGAGCTCAAATGCTTTCACTCTCACGGGTTTACCACAAGGTGAGTTCCTTTTTATATCCGGCTTCTTAACACATATTCTCTTCAGTACAGGTTAGCTCTGTGTGTTAGCGATGCTTTTTAATGTAAACACAGACCATATTACTTCCAAAACACATTGTGCATTGTTTGTGATACAGCAACGTTTCTGATAGGGTCGTGGGCGTAAAGCCAGCACACATTTTAGTAATGTCGTCATGACCGCAGCAAACCTGGATCAGCTCCGTTGTACCCCTGTTTTTAGAG